ATGGAGAGGAGTACAAAGTTGTTATGACTGCATTCCATGAAGCGTTACTCAAACCTCAGAAAAACATGCCAAACATATGACATTTGGCGAGAGAAGGTTGGCAAACAATTAGAAAGTACATAGACAAAAATAAACTAGCCAATGTAAGAAGGGACATCATGGAAATAATGGATTGACAGAGGCTGAAATTAATGAAATAAAAAAAGAATTGCAACAAGAATAGATGAACCAACAAAACATGAAAAGGAACCGGAATCGGGAAAAAAAGTAATAACATCACACAAGCCTCAGGTCATAATGAAAACCGAAAAACACACAAATCACTGTGAAGATAATGCTGAAAAATTTAGAAATGTTGGAAAGGTATGATCTTAGTCAGTGGTAATAAAACGAGTTCAAAATTCATCGAACAGAATTATTTCACAGAAAACAAGATTATACAAGAAGCCAAGGATGAAATCATGAGCCATATAAGTCAGATACAGAATATTGCAATGGAGGAACGAGAACAACTCCCAAAATTACAACCAACAAAGCATAACCTCAAAACTATTAAGCTCTATAATGCAGCACTCAAATTGATTCTGGATGAAGAAGACACTCATATAAATCTCAATGAAGCAATATATGCATCAGCAATAGCAGCAACAAATAAACTGAACATCAAAGTAAAAAAAAAGGCAGTCTCACAGACATGAAGATCCACCTTGAATTAAAAATAGAAAAGAAATTGAACACCTTGGAAGGAATTATCAGTACTGATGAACTAGCAAGAGGAGTAAATGTAAGAACTAGAAAAGGCAGAAGAGGAAAGAAAATACAATATCAGGAATGAATGGGAAGTCCTATCAACTAAAGAAAAAATAAAGCAAACAATACAACTGAAGGCTCAAAGAATAAGACGCTACGAGAAAAGATCAAGATTGGATAGACAGAACAAGATCTTTCAAACTGATGCAAAAGAAATTTTACAGGGAAATAGGAAAAACAAAAGAATTGAAGTGACAGTCCCCCTAAAATGGAAGAAGTTATACAGTTCTGGGGAAAATATGGGCTTGGATAAAGAAGGCAACGAAGAGGCAGATGGATTGCGCAAGAGTTAGAACGGGAATGGGAACAGACATGGAGTAAAGAAGATAAATGTGCACTGGTGGAATGGAAAATCAGGAATAGATAAAATTCTAACTACGGTATATTATTTAAATACAGCACACAAAAACTGGCCAAAGAACTTCAAGAAATGGTTACTGATCCAACTAAAATTCCTGCATGGATGACCAAAGGGTTACCTTTCTTCTACCCAAAAATAGTGACAAATATTGGGAAAAACTATAGACCAATTACATGTCTTCCAACAACATACAAACTGTTAACATCTATTTTAACAAAACAGACATATTTCTTCTTGGAAAGAAATGACATACTACCACTTGAACAAAAAGGGGGCAAACGAGGCTGCTACGGATGTAAAGACCAATTACTTATTAATAGGATGATCCTGGAAAACTGCTTGGTGGAAAAAAAATCTTAGTATTGCCTGGATAGATTATCGTAAAGCATTCGATAGTGTACCACATTCCTGGATCTTAAAGTCTTTGGGATGTACAAGGTATCGGTTATCATCAATTTCATCAAACAATGTATGTCGATAATGGAAAACTACACTTTACCTCAATCATAAAATGGAACCTATAAGTCTGTGAAATAAACATCAATAGAGGAATATTTTAAAGGTGACTCTTTGTCTCCTTTATTATTTTTGGATATCACTTATAGCATTAACCAGCCAACTTAACAAGACAGAATGCGGTTACAAAATAGCTCAAAAGAAAATAAACCATCTATTTTACATGGATGACTTAAAATTAATGCTAGGAATGACAATGAGCTGGAAGGTCTTCTGCAAACTGTAAAATGCTTCAGTGAAGACATTGAATGAAATTCAATTTGGATAAATGTGCTAAAAGCTACAGGGAGGATCGCTACAACAAACTTCCTCTATTAGTTTAGACCCTGTACAATAATAAAAGATTTCTTATGGTACCTGGGTGTAAATGAGAGTGAAGGAATTCACCATAAGAAAATGAAAGAAATAGTGCGTAAAGAGTACTATAGAAGGGTACGACTGGTATTAAAAACTGAATTGAATTCTCAGAACAGAATTATGGATACCATCCCAGTGGTCCAATATAGTTTCAACATCTTGAACTGGACTCTAAATGACATCAGACAAATGGATTCTAAAACAAGAAAGCTTCTTTCTAAGTATAAGATGCATCATCCAAAGGCTGATGTAGATGTCTCATACATACCCGTAAAAAGAAGGTGGAAGAGGTCTTATTCAGCTAGAATTGTCATACAAGACAACAACTATTGGCTTACTAACTTACATGGAAACAACAAATGACTGGATGATAAAATTAGTGAAACAACATGAAAAACAGAAAAAAAAAAATATTCAATAATAAAAGAAGGCAGTAAATACAAACAACATTTACATTTATGGATTCTTGTAGAAAATCAAAACAGAAGATAAGAACCAACTATTGCAGCAAAAGATATGAAAAAAAGCCAAGGATAAAGCCCTTGAACAGATGAAACAACGCTGGAAGACAAACCTCTGCAGGGCCAATATCCAGAACGTGCAAATAAACCCAATGTTGATAAAGTTAATACTCATCGATGGTTACGAGCATCTGGATTAAAGTCTGAAACTGAAGGCTTTATTCTTGCAGCGCAAGACCAGAGTCTTTTTCACTAGGAATTTTCAGGCAAATATCATACATAATAATGTGGATCCAAAATGCAGGTTCTTGACAAATACCAAGAAACAGACCATCTAATCTCAGGATGTTCTATACTTGCCCCAAATGAATATAAAATCGTCACGAAAGTGGGGCAATACTTACACTGGACAATGTGCAAACACTTTTGAAAAAATGTAAGCAAACACTGGTATGAACATCGGCCAGCGCCGGTTACAGAAATAGAAGATGTCACCATTCTGTGGGATTATACCATTTTTGAAGCAAATAGGCTGACATTATTGTCAAAAACCAGAAAGAAAAAATGCCTACTAATTGATATGGCTTGTCCAGCGGATTGTAACATAGCAACCAAGGAATTTGAAAAACTATCAAAATACAAAGACCTGGAAATTGAAATAGAAAAATGGAAATTGAAAACAAGAATAATACCAGTGGTAATAGGTACTTGGAATTATAAAAAATGGAACAAAACAACACATTGAAAGAATCCTGGAAACCCCAGCTTAGAGACATACAGAAAATTGTCTTATTAAACAGCACACACACTAAGGAGAACTTTGTCTATGTAACGCTAGCAACTTCATCGGAAAAAAAAAAAAAAAAAAAAAATTAACATGAAATCAAATCAATAATATTACCCACGACCTGCCTTAGGTCTTTCCGCAGACTTGGTAGGTAGTGTGTCCATAGCAGAAATCGAATGATGATGATGATAACAATAATAATAATATCAGGGTGCCCAGTCCTTGCAGGGAACACTATATTATTAGACATGAGAGGTTAGGGCAATATATTCATTGGCATATCTGTTCGAACGATGGTATTGAAGTCCCCGGGTACAAACACCACCCGAATAATGTCACAAATGTTGATGAAGTGACTATACTGTGGAAATTCCAATCATCACTGACAGAAAAATTGATGCAAATAGACCAGACAGTCATAAATGATTCTAAAAAAGGAACCTGCCAACTAATTGATATGATTTGCCCACAGGAGCCCAATTTTTCTAAAAAAAAAAATAATAATAATTTTAAATGTAGATTTATTTTTGTATATATGTATCTGTAGGCAGCAATAATTCATTAAACACACTTTGTTAGAGTCAGGGTGTGCCTGTTTCATTTATTATCACATTTTCCAATTTTCGGACATGTTGTAAATCCGAAATAAATCATGGTTCAACTGTTCAAAATTCATACGTTCTTCTGATTTTGATTCCATTACTTTCGATCATCTCCGTCATTATGAAGAATTGGATATTGCCAGTATAGTAGACAAGATGTTGTTGGCTACATCCTGACATTTTTAGAACGCTAAAATTCAAATATACTTGTATCATATTAGGGATGACATGTGAAAAATGGTTTCCCAACTGCACCGGAAAAGAACGTATCGAGGTCTTCTTCTTCTTCTTCTTCTTCTTCTTATTATTATTATTATTATTATTATTATTATTATTATTAATAATAATAATGATAATGGCCGACAGGGTAAAAATTACTTGATCATAAAAAGACTAAGGATGAAATTGGGACAGTTTGTCTACAATTTTGATTAGGGTGTACAACATCTTGTTCGGAAAACGGGAAAATGTTATAAAAATTTAAATAGATAGACTTTGTCGGTTGGATTTAATGAAACTTAATTTAAATAAATAAATATGTATGCCTGTAAGCAGATAAATCAACACTGCATAGTGCTGGTCTGTTTATATATAAAAGCGATGGGAACGAGAGCTGATTTTAGTGATCTCAATATGCATATGAATAACCTCAACACGACTTCCGATACTTCAGACTTCATTTTTCGTTCCGGCAACCATTTTCCTGGCTTTATACATACATACATACATACATACATATATATATATATATATATATATATATATATATATATATATATATATATATATATACCTATTTCACTTTCTTCCATTCTGTTTTATTTTTCCTCTCTTTATTTCTATTTCTCTCTCTCTCTCTCTCTCTCTCTCTCTTTCACTCTGTCTCTCTGTCTCACTCCATCTCTCTCTCTCTCTCTCTCTCTCTCTCTCTCTCTCTCTCTCTCAGATAAGCACACAATCTGATATCACCGTAATGAATTGGCAAATCATTCCAACCTGTCACCCTCCCAAGATTCGGCAAATGGACCAATCCTGTTGCCGATCTGAAATCTGCAAGCCCAACCCAACCAATTTTCAGTCCCTGTCAGTCGTGCGCGCATGCGCACGCAACAGGCGCAATAACTGGCTGCGCATACAGACGGCCCCTTGGCCAACAACAGAACATAAAAATCTTGGCATCGATCGTCGCTGTTAGTGGCGACGGGCGGTTGTGCACCTCGGTTTGATGAGTCACCAACATGCAGGACAACGATGTGTGGGAAGTTAGCGGGGAAGGCATGACGGGAATGGAGAAAGAGAAGTGGGGAAAGGAAAGGAAAGGAAAAAAACGATGAGAAAGAAATGAGTGGGATGGAAGAAAAGAAAGTGTAAAAGGAGGCTAGGGAAACAAGAAAGAAAAGAATGAAAAAATAAGAAAGAAAACATCGGGATGGACGAACAAGAAAGAAAGAATAAAAAGAAAAAAAATGATATGAAATAAAATCAAGTGTTTAGAAAGGATAATATTAAAAAGGGAGAAATAAAAGAAAGAAGAAAATAACCAAGAGAAGGAATAAGAAAAAAGCGTAATAGATAGGACGATTATTGGCATCAATATAGAAAGGAAAAAAAACGGTTACCACACGAAGTAGTGAGATACAAGAAATAATTGATATAAGAGTACATCCGGAAATAGAAAAGAATGAAGACAGAAATACTAGAGAATAAAAACGGACAGTCAACGATTAAGAAAGGGAAAAAACGTAAAGAAAAGCGGTTGGTAATTTTATATAGAAGGAAAAGAAGGTGAGCGAAAAGAAAGATGGCTACTTAGTCATTCGACTGATTGTTGATTCGTTGGAAATACTTGATCCGGGACGGCCCACATGGGATGCTGACCTCGGATGGGGTAGCCAAGCAAAAGGATGCGTTTATTTTACTACTCTGCACGGCTTCCATTTTTAAATATTTTATAATATATATATATATATATATATATATATATATATGCATAAGCCTTGTATGCATATATTTAGTCCTCCCTCTTGAAAGAGGATTAGAAAGAGATAAATGAGAATTTTCACTGATGTGAATAAATAAATGTTTATATTCACAGATGTTTAGAATGTGGGTGAACATCTTCAGTTGCACTTTTAGTTAAGTAGAGTATTGCGAATGTAGTGAGAGTCTAACCTTGTGTCAGATATCAGTTTAAATATGGTGGATAAGTCTTTTTTTGTGAACATATTTTGAATATATATATATATATATATATATATATATATATATATATATATATATATATATATATATATATGGGGCTTTTCTGGTCAAAATTGTGTTCACAAATGCTTTGACAGTTTAATTTTAACTGTTCGTATATTCTTTCCTTTAAATTTCGGGATGTTTTGCTGATTATTTTTTCATTCTATCTGGTAAGCTCCTGCTTCTGATGTAAAATTAGCTCCTTGTTTTATATTGATTACAATTTTTACTGTTTTTGAAGTGCTTGTGATAATTTTTGATTGAAATTTCTGTGAGGTTTATTAGTTATGAGTTTTTTAGGTAATATTATGTGCCAAGTTCTTTGTGCTATCATTTATACCTTTTTTCTTGAGCACAGATTTACATAAGTAATGAACCTGTAAGAAATTTAGCTAATCCCAGAATAAAAAAAAAGTATCAAAACACCCCCAAAACAATTAAAATTTGATCAATGTAAACAAATAGGTTAACAACAGAAACAGTTAAAAGATTAAACAGCACACTCAATGCACAGACGTCCTAAGGAAACATTCGCAGTCGTATATATGTATGCATATGTGTGTGTGTGTAAAGAATAAAAGTTGTTAATTTTGATGTTCCCGAACCTAAGTCTGTTACATAATGAAAGAGAGGCTGTAATGTCGGGATGTATACATGACAAAAAAAATTTGCTGGCAAATATGAAATCTACATGAAGTCCAGATCTGGGCAAAAAATACTAGGCACCTCCAAAAATTTTCTAAAGTATAGCATACCATGATAAAAAGAAGACCTCAAACCTAATAAAAACAAAGTTTTATTGTCAAAATGTTTATGTTATTACTAGCAGCATGGCCCGGCGTTGCCCGTGCTTGATTCAAAAATCGTATGACTCATACAGCAAGCGCTATCACTCGACTTAAAATATTTTTGCCCTTCCTTGCCTTTAAAGGAGTGCCCTTTGCCGTGCTGATGTTGCTATATGCCTTACTTCTTGCCTATCTCACACTGCGAATTTTTTCTAAGTTCTATACTAAACATTAAATCTGTTACAAAAAAAGAACTAAAAAAAATGAACACAAAACGATCAGCTTTAAAAAAAAAAAGGACTCATAACTGGAAAAACCAAATGAAAAAAGAATGTTAACAATAAATACTTTTTCACACCCAACCCAGTTCTGTGGAATCAGAATCAATGTTGAGTTTAAGCAAGCGAATGAGCCATTTGGAGTAAAGTGCCATGCAGATTTAAATTTTTCCCACTTGTGACGAATGCAGCTACCGATTTTTTTTTTTTGCATGCTAGCATGCTAGTTAACATTCGTGTCAGTCAGCTGTTGGCTCTCACGCTGGCCAATAGAATCTTCCTGCCTATTCGTGGCAGCCAGCTATAGGCTCTCACTCTGGCCAGTAGAAAATGACCGCAAACTACATGAAAACTGCCGTAGAAGCATGAAAAAATCGATTATTTCCACTATCGATGGGAGTTGGGAAATGCAAAGTCGGACTTGGCCATCCCGCTAACTTGGAGCATGTGCATGTAAATTTTGGTGCAAATCCGTCGATAATTGCGGCCGTGCATTCGTTACACACACACACACACACACACACACACACACACACACACACATCCTGCCTTTTATAGATAGAGCTAAGAGGAAAGACCAAAGTATTTTCTGATTATTTTATCACGTTCGAAATTTTGGATAAAAATCTTGTTTTTCTTACATCAGCGGAAGCGGGAGCAAATATAAGTATAGTGATTTTTAGCGTCTTTTTGCGGTGAAAAACACATTGTTTTGGAAATTCTTGCAAACATCTAATTGCCGGATTTTAATTAAATTTTCAGGACTTATTCACAAATGAATGAAACTATTTTTAATCTCTTTTTTAGAAAATGTTGGTAAAAATTTCTCTTTTTTTTTTAACGTTTGTTATCCCCAATTACTTAATTTCATGTTTATATTAGTTAAAATCAGGAGAATTTAAATCATCAATTTATTTTTATCAAACAGAAACACCATGTACCAAAAATCTCCTTTGAATCGTAAAATAAAAAATGCAATAAACTATGACATTATTTTATGATAAAAGCTTTTAATCACTTCTATAACATATATTAAGTACTCTATTGTCTTAAGAAAAACATTTTTCGATGAATAATGAAATTTTACAATAATTGTTTTCAATTTTAATTAGAAAAATTTATTGAATTTTAAATCTTTTTAAAAATTTGTATTAATTTCAACATTTTAAATGATTTTATTATTAAGTGAAAACTACTAATCATAAATGGAAGAGCTTAATACAAATTATCAAATACGAATATATTAAAAATAACTTTGAATATTTTTGTATGTGTATAAACGTGTCGATTTTTGTAAGTACGGACGTCCCTACATGACATAATAAAAAAATAAAAGAAATACATATAGTAAATTTAAAGCGAAAATTTCTAAAATTCAATAAAACATTAGATTACGGAGAATATTTTCCTGAATATTTCAGATAACTGAGTACTTAAAAATTATATAAAAGTGGCACTCACATCATTTTCTTCAATTTTGTTTTACAGATAAAGTCTCTGTAGAACAACATTAGATTTATCTGTAAACGGGCTGTCAGCACGTCAACACGGCTACTCTCAGGTTAAAAACACAGCTACCGTCGAGTTAAAAAAAATGCATTTCTGCGACGTACTGCGATTTAATTAAAGTAACTAGTATTTGTTTCGAATCAGATTAATTATACTTTAAATCGGCTAATAAAGTTTCAGAAAAGTTTTGTTTGGAAGACTTTTTAATAAATAGAATTACATTGCGATGACCAATGACTAACAAAGGGCGCTAATCAGTTATTTTATCAATATATATATATATATATATATATATATATATATATATATATATATATATATATATCAGTGGTTTTCAACCGTTTTGCTGGAGCGGAACCACAAGGAAACAATCCAGTGGTTCGAGGAACCCCTGCAATAAATTAATTGTCTTATGCAAAAAAAAAAGCTTTCAATTATTAAAATAAAATACTCATCTTCAGATATATTTACAAAAAAATACAAAGACAAATTGTAAAAATATTGTATACGTACATATGCAATTTTAATCGTGTTATTACACATGAATTAAAAAACTTCAGTTTAAATGGATTACATTTATTTTAAGTTTGGGACCTTTTTTTATTCATACGATGCTGTTTTGTTATTGATTTAGTGGAGGTACCTAAACACACATATCTGCAGGGGAGAATTAAAAATTACTGTCAATCATAGTACTTGTGTAACTTCTTCCGGAACCCCTGGGCTTTACTGATATATATATATATACATATATATATATATATATATATATATATATATATATATATATATATATATATAATCAATTAATGGATGTTTTGATCTGAAATTATTTCCTATTACTATAAATGTTATATTTAGTGAGTAAATGCGTTTGAGTTGACATCCCTGTTATTATGAACGGTGAAATTAATGTTAACTAATCAAAAGACTGAAAAGTCTTACTCAAGGAAATGACGGGAAGTAAGGCATTTCCATCTCTAGGCCTGGTGACATTAAGTTAATTGTTTAAAATAACAACTCAAACACGTGTGCCCACTAAATATAACTATAGTAATAAAGAATCTAACTATTTTCATAAACTTTAAAGAAATACCGACAAACCCTTGAAACGATTAATATACAAAAGAAACAATTAAATGAAAGATTTTTTATCACAGGAGAAGACATTATAAAATGCTTATAAAATATTGTTCTACTCTTTCCGGTGTTGACGTCACTTACATGATATACGTATATTTATGTTTGAAATATTAAAGTAGCAACAAATGCCAGGGTATAGGTAACATGTCTTGTCTACCATACTGACATTTAGTTCCTGATAATGTCCTACACGGTTGAAAATACTTGTATAAAAACAAAACAGAAACATATCGAAATTAGCAAAAATTTGATCCAGATGTGCAACAAATTATTCAAAAATTGGAAAAATACGATCAAAAAAATTAAGCAGGTTGACCTTGTTTGAATTTAATACGATTTACTGAAATGAATTATTGATAATTATCCAACACACACACATATATATATATATATAAATAAATATACATATATATGCTCGAATGTATATATTATTTCCTTAGTTTATATTAAACTAGCAGTAGAACCCGGCATTGCCCGGGGATGTAACAGTAAGAGATAGATCAAGTATCAACCATCATAAAGACTGAAAAATAAAATTGACAAAGATTATTGTTTACGGTCGACGGACACGCATATCTTAATTTTTTTTTTTTTTTTACGAATTGGTCAAACCCAAACTCAAACAAAAACATTGTATTCAATCGTTATGGATCTACCGATTGAATAGAATTTTATTATAAACAATTGTCTTGTAAATGGAATTTTTAAAGCATTCTGTATTTAAAATAAAAGAAAAACGTGTGCAAGACAATAAGAAACACTACCTGCAAAAAAAAAAAGTGAAGTTTTGTTGAAATCAGTTGAAAAATGTAGGAAATCCGATCCCATATATAAATGAACACACACACACACACACACAAACAACCTGGGTTTTATAATAAGTATAACTCGATATGAGTTGTCCCCCTTTCATTCTCATGATGCCTCTTAATCATCTTTTCAAATTGATTTCGTGCAAAAACAATTGTGTTTTTCCAATTTTTGGCGCTGTTAGAACCACCGCAAGGTAATTTTATGTAGTCCTGTGAAGTTTTGTTGAAATCGGTTGAAAAATGTAGGAAATCCGATCCAATATATAAACGTACAGACACACACACACACACACACACAATCTGCCTTTTATAATAAGTAAGATAAGATAAGATACAAGCGAAGAGCCGACTAAATTTAGGGGAATTCTGAACAGTACACTAAAAATAGTACGGTATTTTTAGGTACTGTTCAGAATTCTTTGTGTGAGCAAAATAGGTGGAAAATAGGTCTTAGGTATGTAATTATTTTTCTTTACCAAGTTTTCATAAATTTTTCAAGTAACATTTCGTGTATGCATCTGTATTCCTGAGTGCGCACCTAAAACTCACGAAGTTATACTCGAAATGACTCTCACCTGCGATATAGATGCTGAAATATGGAAAGGAATTACTAAAAGTGTATACAGACATATACGTAATATAATAATGACTTTTTTTTTATCGAATATACCCGTCTGCCCAGCCACATTTGTCTTTCTTCATCTCCCACAGTGTGAGTATATGATTTATAAAGCAAAAATGTGATACTACAGAAGGATACTGAGGATACCATCGAACAAACATATGAGCAAGGATGAAGTTTTATAGAAAAGCGAAACAAAAAAGAGACAGTTGAAATTTTCAGTGCACATAATGAGGAAAGAGGGCATGGAAAATTTGATACTCACAAAACAATGCATAACCTACTTGAGTAAATGGATGGTGGAACAAGCTTTAGGAGAGATAACAAAAAGACAGCATTTATTAAGAACTAATTGAGAAGAGCCATGATCGGCAACATCCTGAAAGATAGAAAAAGATGCTGAGAGGACCTTAGTAATAGTTTCTTCGAGAGAGCGCACACCGATGCGATTAATAGTTTAACAAAGCCTGCAGGCTCACACTCTCGGTCAAGATGACTAGCAACTTCGTGCTAGAATAACTATCGACGGCTTCCAAATTGTTTCGTCAGTGCAGTTTCACACAAATGTTCACGCTTGGGTCAACCCGTTTTTTTTTAAACAGGAGTAGAGGTTTATCCCTTGTACCCTGTAAGTAAGGAAAAGGGAGACGGGAGAAGAAGCTGTTTGGAGGAGAAGAGACGGTTACATTTAACCGTTTTAACAGTGAAAGGGTGGGACCGAGATGCCAGCCTGGTAGCACGTTTAAATTCATGCAGTCCGGGAACCAGTGAAAGTAGCTCGTCGAAACAGCTGACTTGAAAATATTTGTAGAAGAGACAGAGGGAAGCCACAGCACCTCTTTGGGAGAGCGATTGTAGACTAGATGCCAGATCAGGGCCTATCATCTTGCATAATCGTCTTTTTATCAGTCATTCAGTTAAGTGCCATATGTGATACACACTTGGGCGATTACGTAACTTTCGATTTTCTAGCAGTAGGCTGCCGTTTCTTTCTTCGCTAGACTGGTTACCAACCAAGGCTATAGCCTATATCTGGCATGCTATTCAACCTATAGATGAGTAGGGGGAGAAGAGGTGGATTAATACGTTTCTCGAATGTATTTGCGCGTAAGTGCATGGGATGAACCTGACTTCGAAATCAGATCGCCGATTCCTCAATCCGAGCCACTATCCATTACGATATTGAATCACCCCCCACGAGAGTGTCATGTGGCACAAGGCCTTTTTAACGTGGGCATTCCGAGCCCGTGGGCTCGGCCAAAAATATGCCCATTGAACCGGTATAAACGGGTTCAGGGCCGGTTTACCTCCCCGAAGGAGACTCCGCCCTTTGGCGTAGCCTCCTTCGGGTTCCTCCCGTCCGTAGGAAGAAAGTTCAACCGAGCAGCCGGTTCAAAAGTGAACGACTGACTCACTATCCATTACTGCACCCTGACTCCTCTAGTAGACTATTCAATTATACGAATTTCTTGATAATTCAGGGTGATTGAAAAGTAACTCCCTATTTTATGCACAATGGCCTTTACTGTTTAACTATAATTTTTACAAGACGGAAGAGTCCATCATACATAAAATAAACATTTCAATTATCCAATACGAACCCGACTGGAATTCGAACTCGGTTCTTCGAATTCTCATTCCAGGCCGTTATGCATTGCACCACGTCGCCCATTAATATAGTTGTCTTAATTCCTGACCATTGAAAATCCATTTTCTTGGTTCTTTATAAATTTACATCAGGCGCAAACAACCCATTTCTATCAATAACACTTGCGTTAAGCTCTGATTGTAACTCATTTTTTATACAAAATATTAAGATTGCTTAACTAATAAAATAAATTTGAATTAGTGCAAAATATCTGCTTTATGAAAATTCCCTGTTACTTAACAAAAAATATTTATTTATTTTTTGTAAGTTAATTTCTGTGTGCTGCGAAATATTGGCAAAGTTGATATAACACCTACATTTTTGCCTTCAAGTCAGAAGTTCGAATCTAGGAAGAATCCAGTTGTTAATTTTCATATATTACTTTCATTATGTTGCAGTTTCAAAGACATTTCTATATAGTATTGTATACAAAATGCTATATCTATACGTGATTTGTGTTTGCAACAAATTAAACATCTTACATATCTATTCAGGTTTAAAATAATATCCTATTCATTTCTGTAGTGAAATATTTTCTGATGCACTTTCATCTATATTTTTAGTATTTACTTGTTACTATAAATATATTTATTAGAATGTATTAAAAAAAAATTGATGTACTCTTTTGCACTAAATACAAATGCTGTTTGAAACAGTCATGTCGGTTGAAATATTTCAGCTTATAAAATAAGTGTGCTGGTGCAAATAAGTATTCCGTTAGGAATTTTTATATAAGTTTAATAAACGTGCTGGTTCGGTAAATAGTACCGATAATTTTTTGAAAAATAATCTGATGGCATAATGAATTACGTCTTGAAATGAGAAATCGGAGAGTTCGAATTCCAGTCGAGTTTGTTATTTTCACTTGCGCACAAATATGCTTCTCTGTGTTAAATAGCAGTAGGTAGAAATCTGGGACTAAATCCCTTTGGCTTTGGGAAGTCACCTCTGCAAGGGTTACGGTGAAGACATCAGCAGCAGGATGTGGGGTGTGGCCAATGGCAGAATATAACAGGATCTTTGACATTGAACAGCAATAGTGTCATGTAACTGATCCTTCATACTGGACAATGGATGAGACCTAATTATTCCGAATCGGGTGGAACCTGAGGGGACACATAGTGTAGTGTCTTGGGCCTCCTAATATATCTTAACCTAAACACCTATGGTGACACATAGGGGCGTTTCTACGACAATCTACGTAGTTATATGGTCTCAGAATAGTTGCAATAAAAACTTTCTACATTAAATTCCTAGTAAGAAATGAAGCACATTTGTCATGGAAATAGCGATAGAATAGTGAGAGGCTAGCAGCATGAAAAAAAACGTCAGCGGGAAGGAGGTTCTAAGGTTGAAAATATTTCATCACACACAAGGCCGCGCATGTAATCGCATTTGAAAGTAACGATGGACAGATATATTGCAGTGATATTCCATTTTTTTCTGATCTGACAGCGCATGGCAGGAGGAGTTAGGCACATATTGTTATATAACACGTTTTTCACACAAACACGCACGCACATACAGAGGTGGACACAAAATGAGAGAGAGAGAGATAGAGATAGATAGATAGAGAGAGAGAGTGTGTGTTATGGATCTCTGATTGAGTGTTCGTCATCGGGGAATATCAAAAGTTTTGGGAGTCGAAAATACAAATTGACTTAAAAGAAGAAGCAATGGTAGATTGTAGATTCTTTTTTTTTTTTTAAAATTTGGTGCAAAATGAATTTTTTTTTATTTATTTCTAACTGGATAAATTTCGAGAGAGAAGGGAAATATCCGACAGTAAACACTGGATAAGTCGATAGATGAATAGATTGAACCATCTTCTCAAATTCACCAAATTTTAAATTGGGTTGTTATATAAATTTTAAATTGAACTTCATATATATATATATATATATATATATATATATATAAGACCATTTGCGCATGCGCGTTGATGAGAAAATTTATATATACATTTATATATAGAGAGATATATATACATATATATATATAGAGAGAGAGAGCTATATATACTCATCAACGCGCATGCGCAATAGCGTTCTCGCAAATATAA